TCCTTAACTTGTTCTATTTCATCTTGTCCGATTCTCATTGTGATGTCTTCATCTGTATTTGTTATAGTTTTGGTCTTGCTGTAATTCATATTAAGGCCTATCTTTCCAGCTTCTACGTCCAGTTCTTTCATCATTTCAAATAATTCTTCTTTTTTATCGGTTATCAATACGATGTCATCAGCGTTAGATGGTTCAAGCGTTGTCCACAAATTTTTATACCTTTTCGGTGTATCGGCCAATCACAGCGCTCGTTATTAACTTCGCTGTCATTGGCCTCTCGGCGGAGGCGCGGCGAATTCTCAAATACTAAACGTGTAAAAGAGCAGCGCACCTTCCGATGGGGACTTCAGTAGTCAGACACTTCGAGCCCTACTAGACCTTGTTGGTTGGTAGTGCTACCTAGTAAAACTGTTGTTTCATTATTTACCCAAGTAACCAAAATCGTCCTTACGTAGAAATTTTACGAATACACCGACTTCGAAGATCATCGATAAGTTTCAAAGATACCAGAAGGCATCATTCGTCGTCTGCTCATATTCCAAAGAGCACGAGAACCAAGCATCGGCTGCAGAATCGCTTCCTGTCAGAAATATACGTCTTTAGAAATAGAAAACCAGTGGTTCTAAGATTATTCAAAATTGCGTCGAACTGACACCGGCGATTTATCGGACAACGACGGTGAATACGAGAAGAAGTCTCGACGGAGACTTACATTCGATTTCACCGCTCTGAGTCAAGCCGCAACGACGTTTCGTCACTTTAAACTGTATGCACTTTTAGTAAACATCGGAAAAACTGATAGTGCGAACGGTGGAATACAAAGCGACGGGCTACCGCAGAGCCGATACACCGGCATTCTTGTGCCTCCTACTAGGAGACAGAACGCGGCGATTCTTAGTGAGAAGGAAACCGACAGCTCTGCAATTTTGCAGGGTTAATAAGGTCTCATTAAAAAATGGGACAGTAGGTAGTACCACGGCAATTTTCTCCTTTCCACTTTCAATTAGCATAAATTCTTGATATCACTTTATTGCTGATGATAGTCATTGGATTATTTTTCTTAAAAACATTAACTGTATAAACAAATTGTTATAGTAATAGTTATAGTATGTATTATTTTTATTTTAGGTTTTTCTCAGAACCGAATGGAAATCATGGAAAATGAACTACCATACACTACAGAACAACAAATAAGTGCAAATATTGAAGAATCGACTTTAAAAAATTCTTTGTTTAAATGTAAAATTTGTTTTAAGGGATTTAACCAAGTAGGTCCTTTGAAACGACATGTAGGAACACACTCCAGAGAAAAGTTACACAAGTGTGAAATTTGTTTTAAACAGTTTAAACGGGAATACGATTTGAAAAGTCATTTGAGAGTGCATACTGGAGAAAAACCATACAAGTGTGAAATTTGTTGTAAGTACTTTGGTCGGGCAAACTATTTGAGAAAACATATAATAACACACTGTAGAGAAAATCCGTATAAGTGCGAAATTTGTTTTACCAAGTTTACTAGCGCATCTAATTTGAAACGACATATGAGATTGCACACTGGAGAAAAGCCTTACAAGTGTGAAATTTGTTTTAAGCGTTTTAATCGGGAGTACATCTTAAAAAGTCATTTAACAATGCACTCTGGAGACAGGCCTTACGGGTGCGAAATTTGTTTTAAGAAGTTTAATCAAAGATATGATTTGAAAAGTCATTTGAGTGTGCATACTGGAGAAAAGCCTTACAAGTGTGAAATTTGCTTTAAGCAGTTTATTCGAGGATACGATTTGAAAAGTCATTTGAGAGTGCACGCTAAAGAAAGCCCCTATAAGTGTGAAATTTGTTTGAAACAGTTTACTCGAGGACATGATTTGAAAAGGCATGTGACTTTACACACTAGAGACAAACGTTACAAGTGCGAAATGTGTTTTAAGCAGTATACTAGGGTAGTTGATTTCAAACTACATATGCTATTGCATACTGGAGAATAATCTTGAAGCCGCTAAATTTTGTTTAAGCAATTTACCGACATATACCTTTACAACCTTCTTTCTTCTTTAAATGCCATCTCCGCGACGAAGGTTGGCAATCATCATGGTTATTCTGACCTTCGAGGTAGCTGCTCTGAACAATTGCATTGAGCTGCTACCAAACCACTCTCTCAGGTTCTTCAACCAGGAAATGCGTCTTTTTCCTACGCTTCTCCTACCCTCTATTTTTCCTTGAATTATGATTCTCAAGATGTTGAATCTTTCGCCTCTCATTACATGTTCGACATATTGCAATTTCCTTTGTTTTATTGTATTTTCCATTTCCTTCTCTCTGCATATTCTCCTTAACACGTCTGTATTCGTGACTCTATCTATCCATGGAATAAATGTCCACATTTCAAACGAGTTAAGTCGGTTTATTGTGTTCCGTTTTAATGTCCATGATTCAGCTCCATAGTAGAGTACACTGTTTATACTCCATTCCACGAATATACGACTGTTTTAAATTCGCTTTAAGGTCTCGACTTAAATGGTCCAATGTGCTGCATTGTACAATAGTAAATTCTCCCCATTTTTAAAATACTGTTATGGCAGATATAAATATGAAGTCATGATATAAATATAGAGTTGATAGTTTATATAATAGTTGTAATTCAGAATTTAAATTATATAATTACTATCATTGAGTTAAGTGTTTTAAACAAGTTGGTGTTTTAATTAAGTGATTTAAACGAAGTGTAACAATACTTAAGTGATTAAATAGTGTACTTTATTTAGTCGAATATTCAATTAGTATTAAAAAAATAAGAAAACTTACTTATTCTCTTATTCACCTAATCTCCTAAAACTATTATCAACCATCAGATTCACAGCCATAATCACTGTCGTCGCTATCCTCATTTGGATGGTAAATTATAATAGGATTAAATGCTTCGATGCGACCTTCACGGATCCACCATTCTTTAATTAAGTCTTCACATTTTTTTACACTTTTTCCCCAAATTTCAGGAGTGGCAATATCCAATGTTTGTTGCCATGTTTCCAAGACTGCCTCGTCACTGTAACCTTTGTATCCAATATGGTTATCATAATATGTTTTGCAGATCCCCCAAACATATTCAATTGGATTGAATTGGCAATGATAGGGCGGTAGTCTTAAAACACGATATCCAAAATTTTCAGAATTTACTGTTTGTATTTTGAGAACGATTTCCGAAGTGGAAATTGAAACGTCAATAAACGTATTTTTATCTTTAATTGTGGCTTATTCGAAGTATACTAGTGCAGCTCATTTGAAACAACATATGAGGTTGCACACTGCAGAAAAATCTTGAAGCTGTGAAATTTTTCTTAAGCAGTTTACTGACATATACTTTTCAGTGGCGGCTCGTGGCTTTAGAGACAGGGTCAGCAAATTTTTTTTGTCTCTTCAGATAGGTATGCCCTATAATAAAAAGGCTTCAATAATCATAATGGATTTTTTGTTTCTTTTATTTTTCTATAAATTTAGAAACATGTTTATAAACTAATTCTAGTCTACATTGTTTGGAAATAGCGAAATGGGTTATAACGTTTTTACTATTGACAGTTGAGACAAGCTTGACATTCATAGTGTTTCGATAATACATTTTGATTTTTTTGACGCAAGAAAAATTCCGTTCATTTGAGGCAGAAGTTGATGGTAATTAGAGAATTAATGACAATAATTTATTGATTTTGATAACAGTTTGTTGTGATGAATTGCAGTATATAAAATTATACATATGTAACCTTTTCCCACCTTCCGAATATATTAAGATTAGCATATAAAACTTTTAATCCATTTTCTAATTTTATTTTAATCAAGAATGATAGATAATTTTTAATTAACTTTTCTAATAGATGCCTTGAAAACTCTTTGGCGTAACTTTTAAATTTAGAGTATCTATTTGCATAGTATCCAAAATTTTAAAACGATTTATCCCGAATCAAGGGATATTTCTGTATAAAAGGGACAAAGGGATTTTTTTTATATTCAGTGGGATTTTTGACCGGCTCAAATATTTACCTACATAGGCCTATTATAATAACATTTTCTTTAATTCAGGTATAAAACCACTTCGTATTAACAGTATTAAATAAGCGATCTTTCATTACAATTAATTAAACTACTAGCATGATACTATGACCACAAAATAATAAACAATCAGAATGCCCACTCTCCATGGAAAATTAAGTACGCGCAGACCTTCCGCCATGTTTTAGAGGGAACCAGTGTTGTTTATGTGGTGTGCATAGACAAAATTAACCCGGTTTAATTGACTTACGGCAATCATAGACATACTATACAATTATATTAACATTGTTAAATATAATAGAATTAAGACCAAGAAGATAAGATATTGCGCATTTAGTCGTTCATTAGAAATAATAAAACTAGTAAACTACTTAAGGATTCTATTATCGGATGTCGCTAACTGTCCACGTTCTTGGAATCTTTATTTTATGCTACCAAATAGATGTCTATATATTTTCAAAAAGGAGAAGCAAATTCTGGAGCAGGGTATTTACAAAAATCTTAGGTTTTGTAAAATAAATAATTAAGGGATTTACAGTAGGAATCGGGTGAATTACAGGATTCGTGGAAATATATAAATAAAATTCTACGCTCTACCGTCTCATTCTCATTTCTTTTTAAGTTGTATTCTGTATTAATTTTATTAAGTAAATAATACATAATAATATATTAAATGGAATATTCAAAGCCATAAATAAGTACGTTATTCCGTTTTTGTTAAATTTATTCAAATCATTCCTATTGTACCGTTTAAAAATGTAATGTTTTTGAAATAATGGCATAAAACAACAATTATTTTTTATATCCATGTTCTTATATTAGGCATCCATCAATACATCCCATCATTTTATTTAGAATTAGACAACCATATATACGTTTATTCCAATCTAGGGATATTTTAATATTCAATTTAGGGAGGACAAAAATTTTCACCTGGCATCTGGCAACCCTGAATATCCGACACAACCATAAATTAGATATCAAATCAAAAGAGAAAGTATAATTTTGGTATGGGTATAAGGTATAATCAGTATAATAATTAACATTTTTAGTTTAGTTAGTTATAAAGTGAGTAGAAAATAGAAAGTCATATAAAAAAAAATTCAAATTTTAGCTTATATTTACCAAATTATTTACTGTCAGCTGACACTGACACTCAGAGGTTTATCATTTTCAATGGTGTTTGTAGTCATTTTGTAAAAATTGATTAAAATATTCTTGGATTGATCAAATGGAAGTAAAACAAGAAGTCGGGGAGGAGCCCAGTAAAATAGAAATGTATAATAATGAGAGGTGTGATGCAGCTGTTCCTGATACTTTTAAAACTGCAATTAAAGAAGAACCCAAGGACCAGCTATTTACAGATACAGATTATATATTTAATAACTTAGGTGTAAAGGACCATGTAAAAACGGAAATGAAACAAGATGAAGCCCAATTTATACCGTTAGGAGAAAAACAAGCAATTGAAGAGAGTAAGTAAATAAAAGGAATTGATAATACATTATTAAGTGTGCACCATTAAACTAATAAAAATATTTTTTTTACTCCATATCATTACTTTTGATAAAATTACACTTGTTACCTAGTTGCACGATTTTTTTTAAATCATTGAAATAAAAAAACCCTGCATTGTGTTATAGGGTAATTTAGTCTGTAATTTTAGTTTTCTAAACAGCCTTAGAATTACCAAAACGGAGTTTTGAAAAAAATATTTTTATAAAATAATACATCTGTCTCAAGAGGATCAACCTCTTGAATTTCATAATAAACAATGATTATTGTGGAGTACTGGGACTACATGTTTTATTACAATTGATTATAATAAATTGTTTTGTACATTTCCAATATATTTATTCAGTTTATATGTTAGCTATGGAATTTAAAATTGAAATTAAGGAAAAGTTTATTGAATATGACCAAAAAGATATAGAGAGTCAGCTATCCACATCAATAGATCTGGAAAATTTCAAAAATGAAGCAAAAGATAACTCAGGTAAGACAAGTAGCAAAAATTGGGTACTAGTTTGTACTCTATTGGTAATTACTAGAGGGTACGCCTCAAAAATGTCCAACTTTTTGGGGACTTCTCTACCAACTGGGTACTAGTCAAGCAAGAGAGTAGGGCATCTACCAAACTGAAGTTTACATCAGTGATTTTTGCTTGGCTTACTGATTAATGGAAAATGGGGGGTGTAAGGATAAAATAACATTTTATCCTTACCTACTTTTAACAAAAAATTACTGTGTTGTTATCACAATTAGCTTTGATTTAGGTTTAAATGTTAATATTGTTGTAAATTTTAATAACAAAATCATATGTGTTGCCAGGATTATTTTTAGAAGGGGTGCATTTGCATGGGATGGGCTCTCCAGGGTAATTTTAGGTTAGGTTACATTGTTTTACATTTTTAATAAAATATCAAAGAAAATATTGAGCTTTTTTGAGGCATACTCTCTTGCTAAATGATTACCAAAAGTAATGTTATATAGTGTGATGTAATTTGTATTTATTAGGAATGGGATTAAAAGCTAAAATAAAGGAAGAGTTTGCAGAAGATGGTCAATGTGTAGAGACTGAACTATTTACATCCCTAGATCTTGAAGACTTAAATAATGAAACAGATGAAAACAACTCTGGTGAGAAAAGTAATATAAATATATATAGAGAACTTATTTTTATAGCTTTTGTTTAATCTATAATCAATACTTTTCCTACACTTACAAGATAAAATAGTCTACAACTTAGTTTGTATAAAGTCTCATAAAAAAACATATTTCTTAGAAATTTCAATTGCTCCATGTTAGGTTCTGTGTGGGACAGGATAATGGCCACTTATTGCACTGCAATCTGGGTTTAATTTTACCATTTGTATAGACTTAAAATCTGCATTAGTAATTGTTTTATTGTGCTCTGTATGTTCTTGAACATCATTTGAGGCTGACTTTTTCATATTAATCAAAATTATAATAATTGATTGCTAGTACCATTTTTCATTTAATGATTTCTAGCCTTTGCTAAAGTAGGATGATGAGCAGTTGTTACGCAAAAAACATTCTCTTGTCCTTCCACTTTGAGACGTAAACCTTTCCTTGACGTTTCCAGACATGCTGTAGTTTAGGAAGACATTTAGTCACAACTACTTTCGGGTTTCCTCGTCTGTTCGAGCGTAGAGTACCTATTACGTGTGTTTGGTTCTGCAAAAATCTATTGGCAAGTGTCATGCTATTGTAATGGTTATCAATAAAGAGATGATATCCCTTATTTAGGTAGGGCTGCATCAGTGTCATAACCAGACGTTTCAGTTTCGTCACAGTATTATCTGGCCCCTGTCCCCCCTGACCTTTATAAATGTACACATTCAATATGTATCCATCGTGAGAACAAAGTTCGTAAAATTTATTCCCGTATTTCGTTTTTTTATTTTTCATATAAGTTCTAAATGATAGCCGACCACGAAATAATGGTAATGACTCATCCAAAGACAACTGTGCATCTGGTGTATAAGACTCTTGAAAATTTCTGAGACACATATTCAGTAGGCTTTTAATCTTGTAAAGTCGATCATTAGGATTAAGAATATCGTCACCACTGTGCACGGAAAAACACCGTAAAATTTGTTCGAATCATCTGTCGCTCATTATGTATGAGAATATTGGATGGTAGTTTAATGGATGAATGAACTAAACAGTTTTCTAATATTTTGGACTTTAATTTGCCTTTGTAGCAAACATAAACCAAGAATATTTTTCATTTCCTCTTTGGAGATCTCTTTAAAAGTAATACTACGTGAATGTCTGGTTTTGGGGCGTGATTGTCTAGTTATTGATTTCCCATAATGATTTGTAGATATTACCAATAAATCCATTATACCATCAATTCACAGTTGAGTAAAAATGTCACAAGGTGATGAGTTCAAATCTCCAAATAAGTGGATTCCCATTTGTGAATAATCAAATAAGAAGTCATCTATACTCACAGTATCACTATTCCATCCATTTTCATTAGTATCCTCATTATCACATCCTTCGACTTGGTCTGCGTTTGCATGAATATTATTCGGGACTCACTTTTGCAGGACCATGATCTTCTTCATTAAGTGTTTCTAGAGCCTGAAAGTCAAGTGTTCTAAAATATCAAAAATAAAAAAAAACTTGAACTTACCTCTGACTCTATCTTATTGTCATCAGAATCAACATCGTCATTTTCAGGATGATAGGAGTCTGATTGCCCATGAGATATATCATCACTGTCAATATATTCATCGCTGTCTATTTCCTCATAAAGTTTCAAAAGACGTTTTTCTTATATATTAGTACTATGGCAATTCTCTGCTTCCCCCCTTTCACTTAGCGCAAATTACAAAACGTTTTCGGAATCCATATTCCATCATCAGTGTCCTAAAAAGTATATAACCACTTAATTAAGTGGTTCCTAAAAAGTATATAACCACTTAATTAAGTGGTTATATACTTTTTAGTACACTGATGATGGAATATGGATTCCGAAAACGTTTTGTATAACATAGCCCGATTGGGTTTTTAAATATATACTTTTTATTGAGGATTTTTAATAAATTTTTTAATATATGGTATACAGCCAACTACAGGAACGTAGATTCTTTTGTGGATTTTAGCGCAAATTCTTAGTATCATTTTATTGCTGATACTAGTCATTGAATGGTATTAATCATCTATCTGTAGAATGTGTAGAAATATTCGCGTTTTAGTACGTTTCACTTTCATTTATTTACTAAATTTTATTACTTTTGTTTACTGTGCAGTTTCTGCATAACCAAAATTTTGAAGTGAATATTTCTTATTGCTCGGTGTGATGTTTTTAGCAGTAACCTTGCGGTATACAATAATGTACATACTTAAATGTGCACTTATTATAAAAATAAAATGACATATAACAAACATCATTTTATTTTTTTATAACTCGAGAACAAGTGGATCGATTTGGCTAATTTTGATTTTTAAATATTTGTATAAAATAGAATTAAATTGAATTAAATAAAATAAAACTCGGTTACTCCCTAAGTTTCACATCCCGTTATTTGTTTTTTTTTATTACAATATAATGAAATGAAATGTAAGGATATATTTTTGTTCCACATACTGAATAAAAAATGAATACATTCTATATTCTATTTAATAAATTTTGAAAATAATTTAAATTTTAAAGAACTTAAATGTGTGGTGTTGTTGATGTATAAAAAATATTAACAATTTAATAATAGGCAGACATAAAATTGAATTAACCCACATATATATTTTCATTTTTATTTTAGGTTTTTCTCAGAACAGAATGGAAATCATGAAAACTGAACTTGTATGCACTACAGAACAACAAATAAGTGCAACCACTGAAGAAACAACGTTAAAAATTTCAATTTGTAAATGTAAAATTTGTTTTAAGCAATTTTACCATGCAGGTTCTTTGAGGCAACATATGATAACACACACTGGAGAACAGCCTTACAAGTGTGAAATTTGTTTTAAGCAGTTTACTACAAAAACTTGTATGAAAAATCATTTGTGTGTGCTCACTGGGGAAAAACCTTACAAGTGTGAAATTTGTTTTAAACAGTTTACTCGAAGATACGATTTGAAAAGGCATGTGAGTTTGCACACTGGAGAAAATCTTTATAAGTGCGAAATTTGTTTTAAGCAGTTTACCCGTGAATCCGATTTGAAAAGGCATATGAGTGTACACACTGGAGAAAAGCCTTACAAGTGCGAACTCTGTTTTAAACAGTTTAATCAAGTATGTGATTTGAAAAGTCATTCGAGTGTTCACGCTAGAGAAAAACCTGTCAAGTGCGATATTTGTTTTAAGCACTTAAGTAGAGCATACGATTTGAAACGACATATGATAATGCACACTGGAGAAAAGCCTTACAAGTGTGAAATTTGTTTTAAGCAGTTTGCAACAGCAACTTATATGAAAAATCATTTGAGTGTGCACACTGGGGAAAAACCTCACAAGTGTGAAACTTGTGGTAAGTGCTTTGGTCAAGAAAAGTATTTGAAAGAACATATAAAAATACACGCTGCAGAAAAGCCTTACAAGTGTAAAAATTGTTTTAACCAGTTTACTAGAGCAACTCATTTGAAACGACATATGGTCTTGCATACTGGAGAAAAACCTTACAGGTGCGAAATTTGTTTTAAGGAGTTTGGTCGAAAATCCGAATTGAAAAGGCATATAAATTTGCACACTGGAGAAAAGCCTTACAAGTGCGAAATTTGTTTTAAACAGTTTAATCAAGTATGTGATTTGAAAAGTCATTCGAGTGTGCATACTGGAGAAAAACCTTATAAGTGCGAAATTTGTTTTAAGCGATTAAATAGAGCATACGATTTGAAACGACATATGAGATTGCACACTGGTGAAAAGCCTCACCAGTGTAAAATTTGTTTTAAGCAGTTTTCAACAGTAACTTACATGAAAAATCATTTGAGTGTGCACACTGGGGAAAAACCTTACAAGTGTGAAACTTGTTGTAAGTGCTTTGGTCAAGAAAAGCATTTGAAAGAACATATAAAAACACACGCTGGAGATAAGCCTTACAAGTGTGAAATTTGTTTGAAGCAGTTTACTCGAAGATATGATTTGAAAAGGCATGTGAGTTTGCACACTGGAGAAAAGCTTTACAAGTGCGAAAATTTGTTTTAAATAGTTTAATCAAGAATGTAATTTGAAAAATCATATGAGTGTGCATACTGGAGAAAAACCCTACAAGTGCGAAATTTGTTTTAAACAGTTAAATAGAGCATATTTAAAACGACATATGAGATTGCACACTGGAGAAAAGCCTTACAAGTGTGAAATTTGTTTTAAGTAGTTTAAGGAAACAAGTAGTTTGAAAACTGATTTGAGAATACACAGTGCAGAAGAAGTTAATGTTGCCTAATACTATTGAATTAGGGTAGAGACTCTGTTTATGGCCACCATAAGCAATTTCTTTCATTGTAATGAATAAAACACTAACATCATCAATCAACCTTCAACGTTTTAACCTGCTAAATATAAACCATTTTAAGAATAACAAATATTAAAAACAAGATGGAAACTTTTGTCACATAATATGGCCACAAAGCTCCTACTTACAGCCATCACTTTTCCCTAATGGACCACAGGAGTGATGACGTAGATTTTATTGACATCTGTCAGTTTTTCTTTCCAAACAAACCTTTTTTAGTGTGGATAATTTGTATTTTTCGTTATTTTTTCATTTATTTTATAGAATCTTTCCGCTTTTTGCAATATTTAAGTATTCTAATAGTTACTACAACAATTTTACAAGGTTGTGTAAATAATAAAGCACATTGTTTTATGCTAATAGCAATAAAATGCATGTATCAATAAAGTAAGGTTAGAATTTCTTTAATTTAAACTTTTAAACTATATTTCATAGAAATAGAATTCTGATGGTATTATCGTAAAAAACACTATGCTTACAAGAAAAAGCAGCAGAGGAAGCAAAATGTTAACTTTATAGAAATTAAAAGTCTTTAGATTGGACATTTCAACTTTTGTTTGGAAAGTAATAATTACAATGTGACAGTTGTGACGTCACACTCCTGCGGTCCATTATGGCTCCTAAGAAGTTAATCATTATCTATATAAAAAAAGAACAATATAACCGTTTTTTGCATCATTGTTTTATTTTTTAATTATTAGCTTAATACAAAATAAAGTCATTGTTATTTTAATAGATGTGAATCATGATTTTTTCTCGCGTATATCCACCTTAGTTGGATATCTTCAATATCCTTACGCCTTGAATAATTTGTGGATCTTGTAGTTTAGTGGCAATATCAATTTTGTTGATAACAGATATGTCAGTGTGCATAAGTTTAAAATTTAACTTACTTTCATCCAAACTCCGCAAGCTTTAAATTTCGTATTCATTCTTGGACAAGGTATTATTGATTTTGCAACATAATTGAAAGTAACAGTCACCCTCTTACTGATTGATTCAAATGATGCCAAAATGTAATCACCATGACTCAATTCAACATTTTTGTCATCTTCAGTATTATTATCGATGGTATCTTTATTTTTTTGCAATATTGGTGGTATTATTGGTTGATCGATGGTTCTATTTTAGCTTCAGTGAATCGTAGGTGATGTGTTACTTCCTCAGTAACAGTATTGTTTGACGTTAGAGTTTGTCTGAATAATTTTTGAATATTCTACTTTATTTGCATCGAATGCATTTAAAGCACAAGTCTTAAATCCCGAAATTATTTTATGTGTCATGGTTGGTTCATTTATCAATCTTGGCAAAATCTTAATTTTCTTTTCGTCATTTTCTAACAGTTTTTGCCACATTTTCTTTAAGGGACCAAAAACTGCCACATCAAGTGGCTGTAAAATGTGTGTGCAATTAGGATAAAGTGCGATGAGTATAAGCTTATTTTCACGACGGAATCGACTTAGCTCTAGAGTAAGATGTAAACGATGACCATCTAAATATTATAACCGGAAAAAATAAAGATTTTTCTTTTAAAAAAGGGAGAAACACGTTAGCGATATACTCAAAAAAACTCTCTGAAGTCAACCAGCCATTTTCTGTTTTGCCAATAACCCAATTAGTTCGTGCGGCTGCAACCAATGATGCTGGAATGTGTGCATATTTATATAGAGACAGGGGTGGAGTAAATTGTTCTCCAGTGCAGTTATTGCAAAGTGGTGACGTTTTCTTTGATATAATTTTAAAGTTATTACCTCTGAATACCACTTTCTTAATTTTTCTTTAGTAACGATACCTCTAGCTTTATTTACTTATTCGGCGTGTTTAGTAGAAAGTATCGTGTGTCTGTTTAAAAATGCATAAAACCATTTTTTACCTGGTTTATTATTAGTAAATGAACCGAAATTTTCAAAGTTTTTAATAATTGATCGTACTGTTTTCTCTGTTGGAATTGGGCGATTTTCAAAAGCAGCAATAAATAATTTATATATTTCTACAATAGAATGGTTCCCATAATACCATTTCACCATTTGCATGTTTTCTTCTTGAAAATACACGCTTGGCATGTTAATTATTTGTTTTCAACCTTTTACCACCACAGCTAACAATCAAATAGATAGACCTTATTGAGCTTAAACCTACTGTACAGATAAGCACCGCCTATTCTCTTGAGGGGAAATCATACACTCGTAGAGAGGGCAAACCGTTTATACTATTTGTCTGTCCCGAACTGTGTTATTTATTTAGCTCACGCTGTTGTCGCATATCAGTTTTCAATTCAGTATTCTTTGTTAATTAACCAAGTAATGATATAATCGTTTAAAAAATAACGGTTCAATAATTGCATCATGTATGTTTTGTTGGGGCAATATTAATTTTCATTCTACAATGAACTGTAGTGGATTTAAATATTATGTTACAATTACGTATTATCTTTGTTCCACATACTGAATAACGTATATGGTAGTTGAAAACTTGCCGTATCGGTATAAGATAATACTGAAAATGCAAAAAATGAATAAATTCTATGTTATATTTAACAATTTTTGAAAATTACTAAAATCATTAAACTAAATTTTTAAAGAAATAAATTAGTTTTTAAATTTTAACTTAAATGTGTGGTGTTGGTGATGTATAAAAAATATTAACAATTGAATAATAAGTAGACATAACATTGAATTAACCCACATATAGTCATAACGCACTATAAGAAATATTCACTTCTGTCGGCAATCCGCAAGTGCGATGCGCCGTTTTTATAGTTTCATTTTTATTTTAGGATTTTCTCAGAACAGAATGGAAATCACGAAAACTGAACTTGCATGCACTACAGAACAACAAATAAGTGTGAATACTGAAGAAACAACGTCAAAAAATTCTAGTTGTACATGTAAAATTTGTTTTAATCAATTTTACCATGCAGGTTCTTTGAAGCGACATATGATAACGCACACTGGAGAAAAGCCTTATAAGTGTAAAATTTGTTTTAAGCAGTTTACAACAGCAACTCATATGAAAAACCATTTGAGCGTGCACACTGGGAAAAAACCTTACAAGTGTGAAACTTGTTGTAAGTGCTTTGTTCAAAAAGCGCATTTGAAAGAACATATAAAAACACACGCTGCAGAAAAGCCTTTCAAGTGTGAAATTTGTTTGCAGCAGTTTACTCGAAGATATGATTTGAAAAGGCATGTGAGTTTGCACACTGGAGAAAATCTTTACAAGTGCGAAATTTGTTTTAAGCAGTTTTCTCGAGAATACGATTTAAAATGTCATTTGACAGTGCACACTGGAAAAAAGCCTTACAAGTGCGAAATTTGTTTTAACCAGTTTACTAGAGCAACTCATTTGAAACGACATATGGTATTGCATACTGGAGAAAAACCTTACGAGTGCGAAATTTGTTTTAAGGAGTTTATTCGAAAATCCGATTTGAAAAGGCATATGAGTTTGCACACTGGAGAAAAGCCTTACAAATGCGAAATTTGTTTTAAACAGTTTAATCAAGTATGTGATTTGAAAAGTCATTCGACTGTGCACACTGGAGAAAAACCTTACAAGTGCGAAATTTGTTTTAAGCAGTTTAGTAGAGCATACGATTTGAAACGACATATGAGATTGCACACTGGGGAAAAGCCTTACAAGTGTAAAATTTGTTTTAAGCAGTTTATAGAAACAAGTACTTTGAGAAAACATTTGAGAGTTCATACTGGAGAAAATCCACACAAGTGTGAACTTTGTTTTGAGCAGTTTTCTCAAACATGCGATTTGAAGAGCTATTTGTGTGTGCACACTAGAGAAACTTCTTACAAATGCGAAATTTGTTTTAACACGTTTACTAGGGCACACGATTTGAAACGACATATGAGATTGCACACTGGAGAAAAGCCTTACAAGTGTGAAATTTGCTTTAAGCAGTTTAGAGAAACAAGTAGTTTGAAAAGTCATTTGAGAATACATACGGCAGAAGAAGTTAATGTTGCCTAGTACTACTGAATTAGGGTAGAGACTTCGTTTATGGCCACCATAAGCAATTTCTTTCATTGTAATGAATAACACACTAAAATTTTAAAAATGAACGATGGAAAAATTCCTATTCTCATTGGAAAGTCTTATCAATCAACCTTCAAAGTTTCAGCCTTCTAAATATAAACCACTTTAAAAAAAACAAATATTAAAAACAAAATGGAAACTTGTGCTCCACAATGCCACAAAGCCCCCACTTATAGCCATCACTTTTCCCTATTTATGGCCACTAAGAAGTTAATCATCATCTATAAAAAAAAAGAACAATATAACCGTTTATTGCATCATTGTTTTATTTTTTAATTATTAGCTTAATACAAAATAAAGTCTTTATTAACTCCGCAAGCCTTGAATTTCGTATTCATTCTTGGGCAAGATATTAATAGGGAACTTGCACATTTTTTTTATTATATAATAACGTTTAGTTTCATTTAAAAATAAGATTTCCAAAATTTCACGCCTCAAAAACCCATAATGACTTAGCAATTCAAATTTAAAACCTTCCGTGTATAAAAATCATTTCAAACGATCGAAAAAGCGCGCGAACCCTTGTGACGTCACTTGGTGGTATTGTCTGTATGTCAGGTCTCCTGTCTTACATAAAAGTATAAACTATTTTGTTTATATTGGTGTTTGATACAGTTTTTGAATAGAGAGTGTTGAATTGTGTGTGTTTTTACTATGGAAAGTAAAAGTAAATACTACAAGTGTTGTTTAGTACCATTGTGTAAAAGTACAACCATTAAAACCCCCAACAAAATATTTATTAGATTACCAGTACAGTACAGATCATGTTATTTCTTTTTACTTGAACCCATCCTACAGCTGCATCTCCATATGATTCTCTGCCAGATCTAAATGCAAACGATGAATAAGTTAATTTGATTAAATTTCAGTACAATAGCATAAACATATAATATTGACACTACTTAATATAAAGTACTAAGTTTTATCATTAAATACTTATTATGAGAATAATAATCACAATAAAATTAATGTAATAGGAGTATATGTACTTACTTATCTGCTTTAACTCCCCGAACTTCTCCCAGGGAAAAATTTACACCGTTTTGAAAATATGTGGCTACCATAAACATATTTACAATGGGCAAGTAATCAGACTGGCCTTTGGAAAAACCCTCTTCGATCATTTAAAAAAAATATCTGAACAAAAACACTCAAATATTATTAAATATATAGTTCACAGCAACTATCTAAAGATTTATAAAACTGAAATACACCATAAAATTACTATAACAAGTAAACGAATGTCAAACGTAATCAATTAATAGTGCCAATCTTTGAACATTCTGACTATATGACGTCATGACCAATGAGGACGCGTTTTGGACTGGCTGCTATAATTTGAATTTTCTCTCGATTTTAATCGTTTTTAGGGGCCAAACTAAAAACAAAAACAACTTTTTCTTGTTTGATATATATTTTAAATTATGTTTTGTTATGATTTAAGGCATTTTTTTCGAATTTAAAATTTTATGCAAGTTCCCTATTCTATGATACTTCCACTTTCCATCCATTCTACTTCTTCTCCTTCTGAGCTAGACACCACAATGTTTTTCTTTTTTTTTTACTTTTAGTTAGTTTTTTTTTCAATGTTATGACACTTGGAGTGTCTCTTTTTTTCTTTTTCCAA